ACTAAACATGGTGTAACAAAGGCATATATTCTCATATAAGGCAACTAGGAGGTTTAGGTTTCAGAAAAGTCCTCGATGTGACTTTGAAATATGCATTCTGATGTAGTGTGAACAAGGGATCTGCGAATGACTTTCTTCACTTTACAAACTAAAAATTTAATATCAATTAAGTCACTTTTATATCATCTTAACATTGCAAGTGTTTGTTTCACTTGCTTTTGTTTTGGTAGCTACGGTAGTAATTCAAGAACAGAAAACATTCATGTATCATACACCATATGACAGCATCTGTTAGGGTTTTTAAAGCTTTATCACATTTAATTCTTACAATTTTATGTAATAGTTATAATTATCCCCATTATATAGATATAGACAGAAACTGAAAAAGGTGGTGAATTTGCTCAAGATCACGTAACTCATATTTGAAAATCAGACATATTGACTCCACAGCCTCTGCACAATACTCTCCTAAAACGGATTGCAATTTTATCTTGGAATATTTGCAACCAGGCCGCTGACACTATACTGCATTCCATGCATAGTTAAATTGCTTGGGTAAGATCTTTATCCCCATTATGCAGATGTGGTAACTGAGTAGCTGACAGGTTAATCAGCTCAAGAGCAAAGAGCATGAAAGAGGCAACCGTGGGATTTGGGGACCTGGTGGCCAGGCTGCAAGGGACTTAATCACTGCGATCTACTGATCTACCATCTCTTATAAACCTGCTTTTGCTCACAGAGGAAGCAATCTGCCCTTAAGGATTATCATTCCTGACAGCCCAAATCACAGTTCAGCCCTCTGTCCTGTTGGCAGGACTCTTCAATCCCAGACTCATGTGTCTGGAGAAGTACTCTCCTAGCTTTGTTTAATCTACAGTCTATTGCATAGCCAAAAATGAACGCTTTGCACAAATGCATATGTATTGGTGTATGCGGGAGGAGGAAACAGTGAAGAAAGATTCATTTTGAAGTGTTGTAGTGTCTGCTTTCTATGTGAGTGCTTTAAATCAAGAGCAATCATATGCTTATACATGATATGATTTTGGCTGACTAGAATATTTTACTTCATAAACATAAGTCAGTTTCCATCTTTGGATTGTTAGACCTGGATGATAAAATGGTGATGTCAATAAACCCAATAAAGTGAAATCACATTAGTTGGAGGGTCTCATGTCTAAATGCACTTTCAAATAGTCAGTGACAAAAAGCAATGGCAAATTGTTTCATCTATGGCAAATTGTTTCATCTATGTTCTTCGTGTTTTAACATCAATATGAAGCTCTAGTTGCTATTCTGATAGAAACAAGTATAAAGTTGTGTGTTCACTCTTGTGACCCTGGAAACTGTGTGAGGTACTTGCCATTTGGAGTGTGACTTCTTTGGCTGCCACTTTATAATAAATAAACCTTGAGTTTCCTTTAGATTACTAGAAAATAAGGCAGCTGGTCCATAAGAGAGAATAGCTTTAATGATGAACGTTGAGTCTCATACATAGAATAAGTCTTCTGTAAATGTGCTTTGTCAGAAATAGTAAAAGAAAAAGACCTGGTACTGAGGTTTAGTTTCTGAGAATACATGCTGTCCATAATCACTCCATGCTACACTGGAAGACCGTGGCCTTGAAGGTTAGTTATCCACCAATAAACACAGTTATTAGAGTCTTCCACCCTCTGGAATACTGAGGTATGTGGCCCAGTCAGAGTTAACCTTTTGGTAAGTAACATTAATCAATTTAAAATATCTGTTGAATATTTACTACAAGCCAAGTAAGCCTAAGCCATTATGAGAAGTTAAACATAAACTGTCTTTTTTTTTTTTTTAAACAAAGCATGGTCACAAGCCTAGAACAAATGTATACAAAAAAGATAAACATATACTGTTAAAACTTAAAAATTACACGTGAAGTGGGATTTAAGGAACGGCTAAGTTTTCTGGCAGGTTGGAGTAATATTTTACCACTGTACGAATAATAGAGTTTTGATGTGATTTGGATGGCAGAACTGAGAAGGGGTATCTGGGGCAGGTAGAAGGAGGGAGTGGTGTGTGGACATGGTGGTGCTGGAGATGTCAGGAGTGTGCTGGGAGCAACGGGCTACAGGCGTTGGTGCACTGAGTGCATGTGAGTCTTCGAAAGAGCAATAAAAACGTAGGCTTGATTTGGTCTGCAGGCGGCAGTGCCATTGTAGTTCTTAACCATAAGAGAAATGAGAATTTTAATGTATGATGGCATACATGAGAGAAATATTCAGACAAACAATATAAAGGAAATTCAGAACCGAATATAATGCTAAATTTTGGATGTCTATAAAACAAAATTTATTTTTGTCCAAGGTAGGTAAAATTTTACACATTGCTACTTTTATTTATTTATTTATTTATTTATTTATTTATTTATTTTTTTGAGACAGGGTCTTACTCTGTCACCCATGCTGGAGTGCAGTGGCACAATTTCTGTCTCACTGAAACCTCCACCTCCCAGGTTCAAGTGATTCTCTTGCCTCAGCCTCCCGAGTAGCCGGAATTACAGGTGTGCGCCATCACGCCCAACTAGTTTCTATATTTTTAGTAGAGACAGGTTTCGCCATGTTGGCCAGGATGGTCTGAAACTCCTGGCCTCAGGTGATAAACCTGCCTCAGCGTCCCAAAGTGCTGGGATTACAGGCGTGAGCCACCACACCCGGCGTATACATAGCTTCTTAACCATGTAAGGATTTGCTTGTTTTTATTTTTCATTTCCACAGCAATTCTGTAACTATTAGCAAAAGTAAGGAAGAAAATTCATAGAGAAATACCTAGAATAATACCAAAAAAACCCACAGAAAACACCATAAACAAAAGAGAGGCCTACTCCCAATTAACCAGCACATTTGCATAATTATTTAATGCAAGGAAGCGTGTTAAAATTTGATTTCTTGACATCCCTAGGTTACCTATTGCATTCTTGATAAAATCATTAATATTTAATAACTGATCCTGAACATTGATAGTTTCACAACTACTAAGCAGCAGAAACAAACACAATCACATTTGGATTATTTGGAATTCAAATTTCAGTGCTCTTACCAACATAATATTGCACTTCACTCCCAGAATGCAATGTTATTTTTATTTTGTTTAAATTTTTAAACTATCCGATCCTATTTAATAATAATTGCAATATTTTTTCCTACTCATTATAGAAGGTCAGTAAATATGTATCTTCTTTTTAATGGTATTTCTTACTTGGTGGGTAATTGTACTTTCAAAACTACTACAATTTGTTAGGTAATAAGTATTTTAAGCATTTTTACACAAGCATTTTGCAGCCATTCTAATATAAAATTTGCCAAAATCTCCATTATACGCAGTGTACAAATTTTGACAACATTCACTATCTGCTTAACAGACTTTATCAGTTCTGCAAAAGTCATTATGATCAGCTGCAGAAATTCAAGTTTAGTTGATCACTAAGCAGCAGGTCTCTGCAATAATATATTGGATGATTAAATTTTACATTATGAAAGGTTTATACAGAACAGTACTTAACAAATCAGTAGCACAATAAAATTTTAAGCGTGATACTTTTTTCCAAAATGACTACTACGTGTTTTCTACTCTAATTTTCATTTTTCAAAATTACTGTTACATGCGTTTTACTCTTTAACCAGGAAGGTGAAGTCGAAATTAACAAAGAGGAAACTCTTTTGGGTTGGGGAGGAGGTAGGGATGAAGAACCAGGAATTCACGTTGCTTGAATTAGCTATGTGTTAGCCTTATTTTTCGTTTTCAGAATTTGAGTGTTGTTTTTTTAAAAGGATTTCTCTGGGAGTATTAAAATATAGAAAGTTGCCTTAAGTATATCAAGTTGCAAAGTACTGTTTTGATAGTTTTGATTAGTAAAGAAGCTAACTTTCTAAAACTTACGTGGTATACAGTTTTGAAAGGGAAAAAAACTCATTATAACATGACTGCAGTGGCTAAATAGTACTGATCATTAAAATCTTCATTGACTACTTACTGGAAGTTAATGGGTTTCGTGTGTAGATTTTGCTAGAATGCCTATCCTTAAAAGGATTGTAAACCCATTGTTGAAAGAGAAACACTCAAATTGCATTTTATCTGATATGTGGAGTGAATACAAAGGTAAAAACAAAAGTTAGCTTTAAGAGCACTTTCTGTACGCCGTAATCCACAATGCAATATTACTGTAGAGACTGATCACTTAAACTATTCTGTCACTCTGATAAACAAATGTATTTTTCCTAATATTGAAATCATACCTAACATTTTACATTGCTATATTAAACTCACATTTTTCTCATTATTATTTAGCCATATTTTATACTTTCTTGAAATTCTTACTTTACCTCCCAGTCCCCTCACTGTGCATTGTAATCTGGAGATAATGATCATTGTACATCACATCACTAGAATGTCTGAAATACACAGATAGTAAGCTAATTTTATCACCATATATATCAAATGTGGTAAGCATAACTTTATGTTCAGGATTAATTTTTTGATGATTTTCAATTTCCATGGCATTTTTTTATTAAGTAATGTCACAGGGTTTGCATTAGCATATTTTATTTGTTAGTGTTTGGTTAAGTATGCATTCTTCAAAATTATTTTAATATTTCAATTAAGTGTTTTTGCACAATAAAACTAAATGTATACATCCTTAATTTCTGTATGAAGTATAATTTATGCACATGGTAGATGCTTCAGGTTTGCTAAATAAATATGCCTATTAAAAAATGTGGATAATGCACCTCATTTTAATGATGGAAAATACCCTACAGCATTTTTTTAAACTGAGTCTCTCTAGAGGAATGCCAGCACTTTTAGTAACACAGGAAATAATTACCACTACCACACCATTTTTGAAATCACACGGCAGATCATTTGTCTCAGTTTGTGGCAAATTATCAGTTTAATATTTTTATTTTTAGACCTGTAATGTGAGTGATTTAGTGCTGAACAGTTATAACTTTCTTCCTTTGTCTTGTTCTTGTTTTTAGCTCCTTGTGAAGGCAATACATTCTTCTGCCATAGTAACATGTGTATTAATAATACTTTGGTCTGCAATGGACTCCAAAACTGTGTGTATCCTTGGGATGAAAATCACTGTAAAGGTAATGATGAGTCCCTGAAATTTGAAAACATCTCCTCCCTGTGGATTGAGGTAGAAGTTTATATACATCAGACAGTCTTTAAAATAAGAGTATCTAGTGCATTTTATGAGCTCTGCATATGTCTTATAATCAATTTGGAAGCATTTTTCTTAGCCTTTACTCATGTTGTGTCCAGATGTTTCTTTATTCATGCACTAACCTTAGCACTTGAATTCTCATTAAAGACATCGCCTGATTAGAACCTGCAAAGCTATGAAAAGAAAACGGGAGCTTTCAGGGGCACACACTACTTTCCTATCACGTGTGATATCATCTGTTTTTGGCTACACCTCTCATTCATTCCAGTTGACTTCATTGGACGTTATGTACATACTGTAGAGATAAAATATATTGAAGGAGCATTTGTACTTTCAAATACTTTCAGCTACTTCACTCCACTTGTTTTGCTACAAAAATGCTCTTCTTTCCAGTGAACATAGCTCCCAGTGCCCTTGCCTCCTTCCCTTGTCTGTACATAAAGGCTTGTTTATGTAGACAGGGATCCTTGGCTAGATGATAGATATTGTATGTTTTAGTTAAGATGAAATTGCCATGTAAAGCCTTTTACTGAGATCCAATATTAAACAATTGGCAAAAGAAAATAGGCAAATAACTCTTTCATGCTTGAAGTCCAGTATTATCTACTAAAATGCCTTCTGTGCATAGAAGCAGAGAAACAATACTACAGTATTCTATGCTTCATACAGTCAGTAAGAAAGACAGTTACACTATCAACTATTTTGATGTTGGGATGTTTTTGATTACTTTCGTGTCTACTTCTGAATGGATTAGAAATTACTTTCTGAGTGATCTTATTGCATACCTGTTAATAAGTAGTCACCATTGGCTTTGTCCTCTGTAAATTTGTTTCTATATATGTTAAGAAATGTTTGACATGTGATGGCAATCAACAAATGTGAGTGTATGTGCATTATGAAACTCCATATTTGTTTTTTTTTTCAGAAAGAAAAATGATTCTTCTAACTTTTAATTCATTTTCCTGTGATAAGAGAAAAAAAATTTATTATTGCAGTCATTTCTAATTTATGGAGGTTATATCAACGACAAGCATGCGGTGTAGCCTAAAGTTTGTTCTATGTACCCTTGAAAAGAATACGTATTTGCTATTGTTGGATAGTGTTCTGTAGATGCCTGTTGTGTGTATTAGGTTTACAGCATTGTTCAAACCTTCTGTTTGCCTTTTGATTTTCTGCTATGTTTTATTCGTTATTGAAAATGTGTGTTAAATGCTTCAGCTGTCATAGTTGAATTGTCTACTACTTTCTTCACTTCTGTAAAATTTTTATTTCATGTAATTTCAAGCTTGGTCACTAAACTCATATATGTGTGTAATTGTTATATCTTCCTCAGGACACTTTTATCACTAAAAAACAATCTTGTAGATTTAGTGCATTTTTTTTCTTTAGTTTTATTTTGTCTAACATTAGTATAGCTACTCCTCCTTTCTTATGATTTGCTTTCCATTCTTTTACACGCTTTTACTTTCAGACTATCTGTATGTGCGACTATAAGGTGTTTCTTTTGCAGACAGCTCATATTTGTATCTTTTATTTTATCCAGTCTAAGAATCTCTGCCTTTTCATTGGGTTGTTTTATACATTCACATTTAGTACTGTCTTTGATGTAGTTGGACTTACATATTCCATTATACTTTTTGTTTCTAAATGTCTCATGTATTTTTTTCTGTTTTCTTTCTTTTTCGTTAAGTTAGTATATTCTAGTGCAATATTTTAATTCTTTTACAGTTGTTAATAAATTTGTTTTTACTTATTTTCTTAGTTGCTTTAGGACTTATAACATACAACTTAACTTCTCATAATGTATTTTAGATTTATACTAACTCGATTAAAGTGAGAAACAGAAACATTTTTCCTATATAGTTCTATTCTCTCTTTTTTTCCAATTATATTTGTACATATTACATTTTAAATGTTACAAACCCAACAAAAAATACATTGCAATAATTATTACTTTATACAACTCTCTTTTAAAGTGGTTGGTAAAAGAAAGGACAGCAAGTATATATTAGTGTAATTTTTAAACACAATCCTTCTTATTTACTATTTCTGATTTTTGTAGATTTGCATTACCCTGGTGTCATTTGCATTTGTTTTTGTATATTTGCATTACCCTGGTGTCATTTCCTTACTCAGTAACAGTTTTGTTCCCACCTTGTTTATACCATATTGTCACTACGTATATTGCACTTATGTAAGTTATAGTCCAACCTTACGATTATATACACAGAACATTGCTTTTTTAAAAAGTTAAGTGAAGACTGAAGAAGAAAGATGCCACTCGACTGTCGTTTGCAATTATTTCCATAATCACTGTTATAGACTGTATTGACTTGCCTGTTTAATTTATTAGTTGTTCAGTTTTTTCATATGGATTTGAGTTACTGTCTGAGGTCATTTGTATTCAACATGAACTCTCTTCAGTATTTATTTTAAGGAAGCTCTTTTGTCTTTGAATTGTCTTCATTTTTGTCTCTCTTACAATGTCTATTTCATTTTTGAAGGTAGGTCTGCTGGATAGTAGGTTCTGGGTTGACAGGTTTCTGTTGGTTTTTTTGGTAGTTGTTGTTTGGTTTTGTTTTGCTTTGCTTTGCTTCAGCACGGAATGTGTCATCCTGTTGCTTTCTGGCCTCTACTGAGGATAGCTCAGCTGTTAATCTGATTGGGGCTTCTTTCTATGATGAGGTTTTTTCTCATTTTTTCTCTGTTGCTTTCAAGATTAAAAAAAAAAAAACATTTTTAGAGTCATATGTCTTTGCATGGATATCTTTGCATTTCTCCTGCTTGGAGCTTGTTGAAGTTGGATGTGAGTTTTCTACTTAAGTTTGGGAAGCTTTAGCTCTTCTGGTTTTTCTTGTTGTTGTTCCTGTTACTTTCCATCTCACTTTGTTTCTTATACTCCCATTACATTATGTGAGCGTGCTTGTCGATTTGCCACATTTCTTTTTTTCTGAGGCTCTGTTATAGTTCTGCATTCTTGTCTTAAAATCATTTTCCTATTGCACCATTCTCATTCCTTTATCTTTATAAAGTAAGCTAACACTTTCTGCTTCCAGCTGTAATGCACTGTTGAGGCTCCAGAATATTATCATATTAGTAATTGCACTGTTCAATTCGAGACTTTCCATTTTTGTATGATTTATATTTCTTCATTAATATTTTCTATTTGATGAGCACCTTCTTTAGCTTCTTCACTCATAGTTCCTTAGACATGTTGATTACAGCTGCTTGGAAATCTTTGTCTGCTATCTCTGATATCTGGTTTCCCAAGGGTCCTTTCATTGCCTGTTTTTTTTTTTTTTTTTTTTCCTATTTATACATTTCACATTCCTGTTTCTTTACATGCCTTACAATGATTTGTTGAAAATCACGTGTTAGATTTGTAGCATCTCTGGATACTCATTCTGTAGTTTTCTTGTTTGTTTCTAAATGTAGACTTGGCTGGACCATTTCAGTGATGTTTCTAATGTTGCACCACAGAGGCCACTGCCTTGAGCTTTGCACCATCACCCTTGGGCAGCACGGTTTTATCAGGGCTCTCTGCGTCTCATTTCCTGTCCTCTCTATTTAGCTATCATCCCTGTTGGCATTGCAGCCAGTTGTTAGTCTCCATCAATTGCCGACTGATGGCTCTACTGCTTTCAGCAATGCCCAAGATTATAAATTGTTTTATAGTCTGGTCAATTAAATGTTATTAATTGCAAGGGTAGTCCTTGAATCTAGCCTTTGTGAGTTGTTATAACCCAGGAGGACTCTCCTTAGCTGTTACTCTCCTAACTTGTTCTGTTAAACTTCTAGGTGTTCTAAGATTTGTCTTATTGCTCTTAATGCACTAACTGCCTTTTAATTGCATACCAAAAAATTTCCATAGTTTTTGAAATTATCTTTAGGCTTGAGCTTCTCCACACACCATTTCAAGTTAACTTTATTTAGGGGAAGCTCTAATGTTTTCTGTACTTGTAGCCTGACTCTCTTTCTGGGCACAACTTCACCGCTAGTGTTCTGGGTAGGGGCAGAAATAGAGATGCAGGTCTGTTTATGCACAGAGGAGTTGGGTGTGGTTGCTACCATGTGGTCTTGTCAGCTTGCCACTCCACCAGTTCTTCTGTATCAGTGAACTGGGGTAAGCATGATCCAGTCCTGGCATTCTACACTGGAGACACCTGGTGTTGAGCTCCTGCCCTCCAAGTGGAGACTGAGAGGAGGAACCTTGGGAGCCCCATACATCTCACCCACTCAGACTGGAAAAGAGCATATCCAACATGGATCTGGTTGGGCATTGAGAAATAATGGTACCTTTCCCCTCCTTAGGAGATGCCATAACTCCCTTAACTGAGAGTGGCAGGGAGAGGGTGCCCTACATTGTCCATAGCTCCCTAGGTAGGGCTCCCATCATGGTGAATCAAGAGTGGAGGAAGCAAGTCAAGGCTCAAATGCCACAGACTTTCACTGTTCCTAAGGACATTTAATAGATTGATTTGTATAAATTTATTTCCACTTGATGTACACCATTCGGACAATTTCCTGAGTTTCATTAAACCAGGCTTTAATTGGTTGAGTTTTTAAAATAATTTATTTACCAATTGTGATTATTTCATTTGGGAAAAAGTCCATGCCATCGTTCCAAAAGTGTGTGTCTTCAGATTGAATTGAATTATTCTTTATATCAGAATATTGTTGTTATTTTATAGATTGTGTGTGTGTGTGTGTGTGTGCGTGTGTGCATGTGTGTATTTTAAGCTGAAATGCTGAGCAATGGGTGGAGGGGGCTATTTGTAAGGCTTATCAGTGGATTTTTTGTGAAAAATGAGACCCTGCATTTATTTTTAAATATTTTCTTAAGCTATGACAAGCCTGTAAAAATTCTGTGCTCAGCTTGTTTTAAGTTTTTAATACACATTTTGACTGTAATGTTAATGTTTACTGTGTTGCTTCTTGTTTTGTCCGTTTGTTGTTTTCACTCTCTCCAACCTACAGAGAAGAGGAAAACCAGCCTGCTGGACCAGCTGACCAACACCAGTGGGACTGTCATTGGCGTGACTTCCTGCATCGTGATCATCCTCATTATCATCTCTGTCATTGTACAGATCAAACAGCCTCGTAAAAAATATGTCCAAAGGAAATCAGACTTTGACCAGACAGTTTTCCAGGAGGTATTTGAACCTCCTCATTATGAGTTATGTACTCTCAGAGGGACGGGAGCTACAGCTGACTTTGCAGATGTGGCAGATGACTTTGAAAATTACCATAAACTGCGGAGGTCATCTTCCAAATGCATTCATGACCATCACTGTGGATCACAGCTGTCCAGCACGAAAGGCAGCCGCAGTAACCTCAGCACAAGAGATGCTTCTATCTTGACAGAGATGCCCACACAGCCAGGAAAACCCCTCATCCCACCCATGAACAGAAGAAATATCCTTGTCATGAAACACAACTACTCGCAAGATGCTGCAGATGCCTGTGACATAGATGAAATCGAAGAGGTGCCGACCACCAGTCACAGGCTGTCCAGACACGATAAAACCGTCCAGCGGTCAGTATCAATAGATTTTTTGATGACAGCTATAACCTGAGGACTGAAATGCTTCCAGAATGTTGTCTTCTATTTTGTCTTCATATTTCAGTTTCCCTTTAATTAATGATTTAAACCATAGTTTTCCAATATTTTCCTCTTCTTTTTTCCTTACTGCTATCCATATTCTTCCTAAACCTCATATATGTGCATGGTATGTATATTTGTGTGAACACATATGTACACAGAGACCAAAGATACTTTATTTCTAAACATATACACATTTATTAAATTATAGCTTTTAATTTATAATACAGATTTATATTGCACACTTGCTGCCATGTGATCATTAATGTTTCTCTCATCAATATTTATATATTTTGAGATATTAAATGATATTTGGAAGCAATTGCCTTACCAAGATGGCTTACCCATCTTGATAAACAATTTTAATCCCCAAATAACATATTTTTCAATATAATGTATTTATTTTTGGTAGAAACACAAAAATTCTTTTCTTTCACATGTAACATTATATTTATATTAGGAATTGCATAGTATAGTATGATATACTCATCATTTACACCTAAATGTTGTAAGAAATAGTAGAAACATTTGATTTTTTTTCCTTTTACTATAAATACAATATTTTCTGTGTTGTAATATTAGCCTTAAAATGAGTGAAAGTTTTGAGTAAAAAAATTTAAATTTAGGAAATATTATTTTAAATTCAGAACTCTTATCAACTTGTATTTTGTTTTGCATGTTTACTAGCATTTAGTTTATTTTATAAATTGTGACCTACTTTCTCCCTTCATTACACATCCTTAAGACCTAAAATATTTAGTTGATTTGATATGTTTTGCATGCTGACATGTCTATTTCCACAGTTTTCTGAATTTTAAAAATGCTTTTAAGTAAATATTTGTATACATGTATTTGTTTGTGCAAATAGTACTTTGATGAGTGAAATAGCCGTAACATTCCAGGTTCTGCCTCATTGGGTCTCTAAGCAAACATGAATCTGAATACAACACAACTAGGGTCTAAAAAGACAATTCAAGGTAAGCAAATGCCCTTGGTTCCTTCTCCTACTTTGTCGTATTCTGTTTTGTTGCAACTGTCTTGTAGTTTTTTAGGGAATGTGCTATTTATCCATTATTTCCTGAGATATGTGTTTCATGACATTTCATTATTAGAAATACGATGGGTTCAATGTTTATAGGAGATATGATTCTCAGAATACATACCTTTAAAACAAATGTTAGTATTCTTACCATCACGCATTGTACTGAAATATAATTTAGAAAGATATCAAATTAATAATCTACATTTTACATGTTTTAAGGTAAAGATACTACAATTGATGAACTTTCTCCAAAGAAATACTAGAAGAAACCCAAGGTTTTCAAATTAAGAAAATAGAATAGATATGCAGTCTCAGTATAGCTGAAGTTAATATTTAAAACTGGTAACTACTTTCTTTATGTAATTTGGCAACATTCTACTCAAAATTTATACACTAAATATTGTTGGTACTTACACAATTTATGAACTCTTTTTGCATGAATATGTAGCTCATCTCATCAAAATTAATTGCAGCATGTCATGTCAAATTTTATACTATAAAATTTGAATGCAAAAGGTTTCATTAACACCAGTTGTCCATGTGTACATCGATTTTGTCATCAGATATCACAATGGCTTTACGTTTTGCACTTGATAGTCTATATCTATATTAGCCTAATTTGTCTCCAGTTGAATTTGCTTGACAGCTAATCTCTTCTAAACTCCTCAAGCCTATCAACTATTCTCGAACTAGGTGAATGCATTTCCATGCTCTATATTACCTTAATAAATTGGTGTATTTGTATGCATTTTTCATTGGGAGAAAATGTTTTAACTGTTTTTTATTTTCAGAGAAGAACTATTTATACAAACATGGGGACTGTGAAAAGAAAATTCTATAGTGAATTGTGAAAAGTGGACATATTTCTAAATTCATTCCACTGCCTTTATCCAAACTTAAGAATTACAGACATTTGTTATTCCTTCGGCAAGACATCCCCGCTGCACAATGATATGTTCATTTCGTAATTTGGTTGCTGGCCACCAAGTGCTCCTTAGTTTTTAAATACATTTTGAGATTTACTGGAAACTTGAAGAAGAAATTAGTTCCCGATTAAGACTATCCCAACTTTATTTTTATTGTCAGTTTCACTTTTGTTTCTATGTTGTTTTATGTCTTTGTTATATAATTGTACATTGTGTGATATGTGGAAAAAAAACACAAATTTGGATGAACCTTGTGTTACATGTACATTGTTTTCATTATATAGACTGCTTGAGAATAGTGCGTTCCTGAATGATTTTGAACATGCTACAGTGAAAAGTGACTGTGGACCATGGAATCACCAGCTAGAGGTTATGGACTATACACACCTGTTATTATATTCTGATTAAATGCAGCAAAAAGTAACAAGTAAAATTACTAGATTGCAATAAAAATTTTCATTTTTGGTATTTCCTATATATCCCCGATTTTTCCTTTTTGTTTATATTAAAGAAGGTATTGAGTTTCAGAAATCCTTTTTGAAATCAGGTATTCTACCATTCATACTCTACAGTGAAATGTTTTTGATTAAGCAGTTAGCAATATGACCAAATTGACAGTTTGAGAAAACACCATGCATGTCAGTACTGGATATTTGAGCTGGGAAAATATCCTTTTTGTTAGACACATTGTAAAAAGCATGCATTGTCAAATACTGTTGTTACTCTTCCATTTCTTTATGTCATATGCTTGCTACTTATGCCTTTTTATATAAATATATATAAAATGTATAATAATTTCCTAATTTGAGTTAAGAGAAATATTTTCTTCCATTAGAGTGATAAAAAAACTGACTTACATAAATACACATTTTATATCAACCCTTTCCACCTTTTAGTACAGGATATCCTTCAGTACTGAGGCTTACTTCCCCAAATATTTGGCTTCTAAAAGTTTAGGGGAATATGTTCTTCTTTTAGAATAGGAAAGTCTTTTTTTTTTTTTTTTTTTTTTTACTGCTTTAAAATCACAGGCCCCTTTATGAACTAAATTACACCATTATGACTTGTTCTTCTTCTCAGGCACACAATACATCTGAAAGTTTAGTGATTATGATGTGTTTAACGTAAAGTAAAATCCTAAAATACATTTTATTGCTATGATATACACATCCGGTAATGTTTGATTTAGTGAGCAATTATTTTTAAAAAATATTTAATGCATGATCTTACAAAATGAATTTTAAAAATAAGAATTCTATAGTATATATGCTTACCAACTTTTTCAAAACTACTGAATTCTACAGGTTGAAAGAGTTCTTTCCATCCACTAACAGAGCAATCTGGTCTACTAAAATTTGAACTTTGCAATTCAAGCAAGCTTTGCAAACTAAACAGATGAATTACTGTCATACATCCCTATTAGGAATTCAATGTCATATATGTCACAAAATAATTAAACAGAAAATAAAATAAAACTTCATAATAGAAAAATCAAAGAATTATCCTAGCTATTATAAACACCCTATGTTGAAAAAATGTCAAGTTACACAATCACTTCAATGAATTTGATAAGCTGGGGAATATGGAAAAGATATTGATCATGACAAATAAAGATTATTTTTCATTGTTATGCTACATATTTCATACATATTCCTTGTGATAAAATCTATCCTTTTTATTTGGCTTGACTGGTTTATTTATTACCATGGTTATTTTTTTTTTTTTTGCCCTTTAATTCAAAGTTAATGCACCGAAGATTTTTTAAAAATGATTAATCATATCTTACATTGCTTTCTCTATTTAGAAATCTCCAGAAGACTCCTTTCCCTTTGAATGATAATCTCAAAAGCATGATACACCCTTCAAGACTTTATGTATAACAGCAATAAAAATAGTGAAATAAGTTGGGTGAATGGTTTACTATACATTTGCTCTATATCTGTCCGATATGTTCAACCCCGTCCAGTTTCTCCTAAATATACAGAATGCTGACTACCTGCTTAAAAGATATTTCCACCGGAAATCTACTAATGGAGACTTTTTAAAAAAATCCACCAAATTAAAGTATAATATTAAATATGAATAGCTCACACATATTTAATACATAGCAGCTTCATGGGAAAAATATTTTAAATGAAGAACAGGCCTCCTCAGTGATAACTCTAAAATTATTCAGCAATGTACTAATCATAAAACAAGACTAATCATAAAACAAGATAATGTCAATGACTGGGTAGGGTCTGGAGGTTTCCTCTGCTTCTGGCATTCACTCCGGATGCTGGATCTTGGGAGTACAAGATTCTAACGGAGCTGGGAGATGGTCTCTGGAGGGCCCTGGGGGTGTTTTTTTTATCAGCCAGAATTGAGATATGTCAATATACTAAAAACTATTTAGTAGCTGTGTCAGACCTTATCACCTGAATGCAACCTTTGGCCTAAATTCTAAAGGTGGTGACACACATAGATGAGGAATGAGATGTTTCAAGACTTTGATGTCATGTTGTTTTAATAAATGATGATATTTTTTGATAAAGTGAATTCAAATTATCAACCCAAGTGCTTTACTGATTCAATAAGCTGACTTCAGATAATGTATTAAGTTAGCCTGCTTTGTTAATTTGATAAAGCTATTCTTTTTCATTTTATTTTTTCAAGTTTTAATTCACTTTTCCAAATCATGGTGGCATATACTAACATGTCATGCTTCTGAAGCCCCATATTAAGCTTTGTAACTCTGTTCAAATGTATTGTGGTTGCCTAATTTCAGGGTTCTAGTTTGGAAATCTGATTTCTTTTGTACCTATTTTTTTATATATACCAATTTTAAACATTATCTTGCAAAATACATATAGGTGGAATTTGATTTTCCATAATTAAATCGAATTTGATTTTGTAACTAAAATGTGACTATCCACATAATTGGAGATCAGCATCTTTGGGCTTTTAATGGAGAACAAATCACATTGTGTTGATGCTGGCTTTTCTGTTTCACATTACTTCTGCTCTAGAATTATTTTCGTGAGTGTAATGACTCCATAAGTAATGATCCTCAGTGTTTAGTAACTTAGGTCATTGGCATTACTTTGATATTCACATAGCTTCTGTATCATTTTTTTTCTATATTTTTCCCTTAGGAATTTAGTTTGGGTCTTCCTCAAATTTTACACCTTTTTAAAAAAAATTCCATGAATGGGTTTTTCCCAAACTCAGAATATCATAATAAATTACAAAATATGACCCTGGTTCCTATTACCTTTATTAAAATGATAGCAATTAATTTTCTGTTGTTTTGTCAGTGAAATAATAGCATTATGAAGTTTGTATATCTCTGTGATGTAAATGAGTCATGTCAGATTCCCTCTCTGAAGGGAAGTAAATAAACATTTTTAAAATTCTCTGAATTCTAAATAAATATGTGCTGAAAAGTGAGTTAGGGATTTGTCTAATTGCACTGAGGAGAGTTCGCTTCTGTGCCATTTTTCTCTGTGCACTTTTTTCTCCATGGGTTCATTTCTTTCTGTCACAGTCTACCACAAAGGATCCAGGCAAGAAATTGTAATATTGCCCATGCCCATCTTAAAGGTTTAAAAAGTAGCAAAATAAAAATATATTGTTAAAATAGCCAGAGATGTTTTTATACAAAATCCCATTAAATAAATCTGAGGACCTTTGTTAATTTGGAATTATCATGATTCACTTTATTAATAAACTTGTTTTCATTTGATTAAAACAAATTTCTCTGACTGAATTATAATATCAAAACAAATTAAACAGGGTAATAAAAATAACAACCATAGGTGACTGATGTCCAACACTCATAAAAACTCATCAATTTCTTGTAGCCTCTGGTTCTGTACTTTCTTGTGTATTATTACAGAGGTAAAAGCTCTCTTAACATGCCTCTAGTTCCTCCGAGGTAGGAAAAATAAACTCAGCCTGCTTTAGACTTGTGTATTTGCTTGAGTTGGTTTCCAGAAGCAGTATGTTCTTTTTCCTGAAACAGTATGATCATATTATTAAACTTCTCCTTTCTATTCGTAACTACCGTGCAGTCAACATGTTCTTTTTTGTTTCCAACTTCTCCCATCCTTCCAACCTCTGAGGCATGCTATTTTACAGTGGTTTGTTCTTTGAAAAATTGTTTTTGTGCCCTCTCTTAGTAGTCACAGATACTGACACAAAACTTAAAAATGACCAGAAAACATAATGTATAAATTATTTAAAATAAAACATTCTTTTTATATCACATTATCAAATTTGTACTTTTTATTCACTTTCCCATTGAGTGTGATATCAATATAGCTAGGCTTTGTTGAACCGGCACAGTCTGTCTGCCAAGCTTCTTCCTAAGTACTTTGAGGGTAAAATGAAGGAAGAGTCTAGGAACGAACACAATTATAGAGCCTTGTAGAAGGCAGACTGCTTACAGGAGCTGTATAAGGAAAATTAAGCCCAACATTATGTGCTACGTTGCCCATCTTGAAAAACCTATTACACATCCCTGGTTACCTCCTCCATCATCACCCATGGAAGATAAAAAAAATTCAAATGCTAAGATAATACAATAGACATGATGTTTTATAATCAAGAACTTTGTAGCAGATATATGAGAATATAGGTATCTTTTTAAGAAGATAAAGAGAGGCTTTGTGAATTGAGACAATTGTCAAATAGTAGCACAGGGAGAAATTTCCACCTAGACTAATTAAAGCAGATACAGTCTTGGAAGATCATTTACTTAAATTGGTTGGAGCATAGACAGAAAGAGTAATACTAAGTGTAGTTAAAAGATTAAGTTTGAGTTTACTTCATGATTTCTGAGTGCATGGAATGCCATCCAAAGGAATTTATAGCTTATTGAAAGGAGAATATTTTAATATTTTAGCAGAGAGGGGCTTAAGATTTCTACTTTCAGTAGATGCCTCTGACAGGCATATTTGCTAAATTGAATGGGAGTGAAATACAGTAAAATCAAAACAGTGTCGAAACAAGACATGGAAAAGAATAACTGGCAGATTGTTAGCTATCCTGGAGTATTTGGCTGGATTTTTATTTCTACTATACTTTATTGTTTCAAGGTTAAAGTTAACTAGTGAACATACTGAGTGACACATGCTAAACACCATTTTAAGTGTTTGTTTTACATGTAATTTTTTTCCTTGGTTACCTTAGCAATTCTATGACTAATTAATAATAATGGTATTTGTTATTTATTGTACAGACGAGGAAACCAAAGAGAGTTTTAGTAACTTTTTTTAATATTACACAATAAACAATGATGAATCAAGCTTTGAAACCAACCTGACTAACCACAGAATCGACCGACACTCTTCACCAGTGTGCAGTATAACCATGTTAATATTCAACATAGCATGTACTGCTGAAAGAAGTTGATACTTATTCATATTAACCCCATAGTTTTGTGTTTCCTCGTGTAAAAATATGTATTATAGCACCTTCTCTCCACCTTATAGCGTGTGAGGATCAAATGACCATGCATTGGAAGATATTTTCTATATCCTATAATGCATTATAAAAATAAATCATTTTTCCTAAATCATGTGTAAACTTCATTTTATGATCGACGTGAAACGAAAGTATCTTCTATAAAGAGCAGCAATGTAGAGTAACCTCTCTCTGAACATGTCCGCAGTATATGACTTTCTGAACCCACTGACTCTCTATCTGGATGATACTTCTCCAATGATATTTTGTTCCATCATTGCATTGAAATGCTGTTCATCAATGATGAACAACATTGAATGCCAAAGCTCTGGTAGACAGCATTGAATGCCAAAGCTTCGGAGCAACCCACAAAGCACTTAACATGAAGTAGACACGGAAATAGCAACACTGGAAAGCAAATCCTGTGTGTCAGTCACAGATAATTATTTGGTATAAATTCACGTAATAGCATCCTGGTGGATAAGCAAGCAAGCAGACAGTTGTGTCAGTAAACACAGTTTCATAAGCAAGATTACATCATAAAAAAGTGACATACTGCAGTGAAAATCAAATTTTACTTTTATTTTATACTATTTGTGTTCTCCTTAAAAATCTGCTGGAAGCCTCTGCATTTCACTTCCTTTTTTTGTTTCTTTCTTGAGACAGTCTCGCTCTGTCAGCCAGATGGGAGTGTAGTGGTGTAATCTCAGCTCACTGCAACCTCTGCCTCCTAAGTTCAAGCAATTCTCATGCCTCAGCCTCTCTGGTAGCTGGGTTACAAGTGTACACCACCACCCCTGGCTAATTTTTGTTTTTTTGGTAAAGATGGGGTTTTGCCATGTTGCCCAGGCTGGTCTCCTCAAGTGATCCACCCACCTCAGCCTCCCAAAATGTCAGGATTATAGGTGTAAGCCATGGTGTCTAGGCCTTACCTTCTTTATTTGTAAAATACAGAAGGCTACGCCTAGTGAAAAAGGTTTCTGTTAGCATTAGAACTGGGCCGGACGTCGTGATTCACACCTGTAATCCCAACACTTTGGGAGGCCAAGGCAGGTGGATCACCGGAGGTCAGGGGTTCGAGACTAGCCTGGCCAACATGGTGAAACCCCATCTCTAATAAGAATACTCACAAGAAAAATTAGCCGGGCATGGTGGTGGGTGCCTGTAATCCCAGCTACTCCGGAGGCTGAGGCAGGAGAATTGCTGGAATCTGGAAGGTGTAGGTTGCAATGAACAGAGATCACACCACTACACTCCAGCCTGGACCACAGAGTGAGACTCCATCTCAAAAAAAAAAAAAGATTGAAACAGAACTGATGTGCATACACAAGCAATATGAGATCAGTGGGACCACAGTGGAGGCCAGGGAACCTACACTGGTGGTGTGGCAGTTTGCACTCCAGAGCAGGAAAAAAGTCTCTTATGTGTTAGAGTTTTGTGTTCCTGCAGCTCAGGCATTCCTAGCAAAAATGATTGTCCTGTCTCAGTGATCCCAATAGCACTAGATAGTTCAGGAATAGACTTCACCTTTCATAGACACAAATGATTGAATATCAGTTTCTGAGGGATTATTGAGACAGGACCAAATGGGAAAACAAAAAATGTAGGGGCTAGTAAGGTGGGAATGAACCAGAGTGAGACACTGCCTAGTAGCTTTTAGTGTACCACCGTACAGCGTAAGAGAGAGAAGAATCAGGGGAAGAAGCACCAACACAGATATGCTATCAGGAATGTGTAATTGAGAATTGCTAATTTCCAGAATATGTGCTCAGAGACCAGCATCAGAACTGACCAAGCTAGGTAGTCTTCAAAATAATGAGGTGCATTGTACATAACTGGTAATAAATATGAGTTGTTAAGTGAGTGGAAAAATTACAGTCATTAAATTTCTTTATTCATCACAGAAGCTCATTCCTGACACCAAGGCTATTGTCCATGTACGAACTATTGTCATTCCCGAGAAGACCAATTCTGCTGTATCATGAGAACACATGGACATATAGAGGGGACTCACACACCACTGGGGCCTCTCTGATGAGGGAGGGTGGGAGGAGGGAGAGGATCAGGAAAAATGACGAATGGGTACTAGGCTTAGTACTTGGGCGATGAAATAATCTGTAAAACAAACACCCAAGACAACAAACTTTCACATATACCCTGAACTTAAAAGTTTTTTTTTTTTTTTAAGACATAGTGGCCATAATTGTAATAATTTCAGTTACCTTTTCTCTTCTGTCTACACTCACTCAATATTTTTATAAACAAATGTTTATTTTTGTTTATGTGAATTGCCATAAGTGGGGAAAATTATGATATTTTTCTGGAGATAATTTAGCCAAAGATTAGATACAAAGTTGTAAAAAAAAAAGTTTTGAAATTGCCAAGAAAGTTTTGTAATTTTAGTTGGTATTCACATTTACAATAATTTCTTTTCCACCTTCTTCCATAAGTGAATGGATTTGAAGACCTCAAAGACACATATTTTCAGTCAGTCTTACGAATCTATATTTAGAAAACTGAATCTGAAAAGCACAATATTAAATCACTATTAACTTAGAAAAACAGAGAAGGGACCCATTTAAAATATGAAGTGTGTTACTCATGTCATTTTATATTAAAATATAAGCCACAAAATATGTACTTCCTAAAATATAATTATGTCAATTATTTTCTTGTTACTTTCTTTATAAATATTTTTAGACATATGACAGTAACATTTTTAGCCCTCAAAGTGAATGTAGTTTTATTGTTCATCAATTGGAAAAATGTTGTTTTTCTAAATATATGTAATCATAAATATTACAAATCAAATTTATAATATTATTTGAATAACAAAGGATGTACAAGATGTATGTTTTATTAATTTATACACAGAAAAGATGCGTTACCACTTGAGTTTCCTTTCTCTTAGGATTCTTACTCTAAGCAATTAACAATTACAGAGTTACATTTCCTTCAAATATCTACAATTTGGGGAGTTCAGCTAGAATGCTATTCACAAATTCCATATTAACATGATAATATAATTATTATTTATATTTATATTGTGGCCATATTCTTTTTTAGCCAATAGATTGTTCAAATCGTAGAGACATGCTCATTATAACGTAAAAGTCTCTGGGAATCCACCTAATCAGCTTTTTTAGCCATTTGCACAATGATGGGTGGTAGGCAAACTCCAGAATCCCAACAAATTTTAACAGAAAATTGAAAATTGCAATTTTAAAACATCTTTTGCATTCTCACTCAAAATGAGAATGATAATCTATTTATATACATTATATTCTCTATCAGCCTGATAATCTGGCTTTAAGCAATTTTAAATTTATTTATTTATTCATCATTTTTTTGTTACTGGCTATTTGTTTTTTATTAAAAATCATTGAACAATATTTTGAAGAGCTATACCCCAAAATACTATGAATTTATTTAATCTCTAGTACTCTGTATTCTGTTACCTCCATGAGTCTTTTTTTATAAATATGACTGAAAACAGCATTTATATAACTGGGAGAGGGTAGAGGAAGTTCAGGATGTTCCAAATTATTAACTAAAATTGAAATTATATTTAACAATATAATTGTTTTTCTAGCTCTAAAATCCAGCTATAAAGACAAAACACATCTTGGGACCATCAAAATTGTTCTTATATCATCATAACAAAGTAAGAAATTTGAATTTGTGCTAAACATAGTAGACAGACATACATAGAGTTCAGGAAACCACATGATACAATCATCAGCTACTGGAAGATTAAAAAGATATTAATCGAAGTAGAATAAAAATTAAACCAATAAATATATAAA